TATTTGTGAGACAAAGTATTATATGAATCTTTTAAAGCAATTTCTGTTTCTATTCCCAAAATTTCTAAGTTCGAAGTATTTATCTTAGGTTCGATGTTGTGTTTAAACCCTTTTTCTATTTTTAAAATAAAAGTGTGAAAATCTACCAAATTTGGTTTTACTCTTTCAAAATTAAATGGATTTTCATCAAGTAAAGGCCGAAATAATAAATAAGTACTTTATTGTTTGTGACACTATTTTCATCTGCTTCCGTTAAACTATGTAGCAACATCAGGGCCTATTTAATATTGGAAGTATGATATGTAGCTTCAAATATTAAATTTAACGAGCCCTTATATAAAGAGAACTTAGCCGACAAACTTTTTTAGAGTTTAAAAAGTATGTGCGATAAATTCTTACAATTGATAAAATACTGCTTAGAAATTAAGGTTTTAATTTACAACACAGTTTTGAGAAAATCGCGCTGAGATGATGGTTTTATTAGTTTTGAATAAGTATTGCACTAAGATGGTTAGGCACATTGAACCTTGCAATCTTGGGTTCAGTTCTAGAAAACATTTTTGAAACTAAATATGATTTTTTGAAATTTTTAGAGTTTGATTCAGATGCTTCCAACTTTTAAACCTCTCCTTTGAAAGGAAACTACGCAGCCAAAAATTTTGCAGCACAGAAATATACGCAATTTTTTGAGACAGAGTACATTTGCTAATCTCTTAAAATTTGTTCTTTTGTTCTCCGTCACTTAAAATTCTTTAGGGCTGAATTTTCTACCAGTCTCTTCGTATGGAAATCTATAATTGAACAATGGTTTAGGTGGACCTTGTCTTACCAAAAAGATTCTTTCTCCGTCTGGTAGTATCATTGGCCAGAGTGCTGGATCTGTACTTAAAAGTTGTAATGTGGCTATTATAAACCTAATAATAATTTTATATTACACTTCACACACAAATTTATTACCTACCCTATGTTATTTTAATTTAAATCTGACAATTAGGGCAATTTTACCTAATTTCTTGGGAAGAGGCTTATCGGAATTGGTTGTTAATGACTAATTTGCATAATTTTGTTAATCCGAGTATAAGTATAGTGTTGCCACGTTGGTATCAATAATGCTCTTATTTGATGACGGAGGACTGGCACTGTCAGTTGCAAGTATCAGTTCAGGTATATCGTTCATTTGTTGATCCTCATTTTTCTCGCCAGATTTTTAAATGTTTCTCTTGTTTGTAAAACTCGCTGAGGATATCTCAACGCATATTCTCTAGACGCAATCGGGGCGTTCTCAAAACATTCAAAATATACTTTTAACATGTCATAAGCTTCGAAATTACTGTAAGGCATGATGTCTTTTAACTTATTAAAATATAATTAATTTGACATTTAAGCTTACTGACATTTCAAAGCCAACTTGATTAATATATCAATAACTTTATTTATTAATATTTAAGTGGACTATTCACCCTTAATAGACTTTTGCTTATATTCGGTTAGGAAAAAGATAATAAGACGCGGTTTTTTTTGTTTCTTGTCAGAATTTAATTCTCTTTCTAAATAACGTATAAAAATTATAACATTCCATTTAAATTTTTCAAGAAAACTTCAAAAAAATGGTTACTGCTTATACAACGCCACCTAGTGCTCTTTTAAACAACTGAATCAGAACTATTTTGAAATATTTTATTAAACAATCAATTTTCTTTTAATCGATATAAAGTTTTTCAAAATCTGTTAAACGACACCGTAGTTATAATACATTTATTAAATTAAGGTTCCCAATCGCCCCTACCTGTTATTTTATTGAATAGAGCAAAAAGTGTTGAATAAAACTTTTGTAAAATTTAATCAAAATTACCGTTCGATTATTATTATCATACTATTATTAGACATTTATAGGGGAAAAGTGATTTTTTTAAATTACCATAGCGAATTACGCCCTTTAACAGTTAAAATAGAAAGTTCAAAATAATTTCCAGCATTTTCTTTTGACCGTTTTTGTTATAAAAATTTTTTTTTCGAAGCCGTAGGATCAATAGTTTCTGAGATACAGCCGCTACGAGTCCTTAATCAGACATCCTGTACATCTTAAATAAAATACAGTTTTTTTAAATATACTTTTTATTCAATCAAGAAATTATTATTATTATTATTATGTAAAAAAATACATTTTAACAGTTGGTTCAAGTTTAATATAAAAAAATATATTCAATAATACCTTATTCTTAAGGCGGCGTTAGCGTATTAGCATAGAAGAATTTTTCAATATGCAAGACTGGCTTAATAGGCAATAAATCTATGCGAATTTGCTTTTATAATATTCTAATGGTATTAAACTATTTCCTGAATATATTGAAAAGTGAAAAAAATTGATCAAATGGAAAAAATAATGAAATTGTGATCATTTTACATGTTAAAAAGTCATCAAAAATCGCTATAAAAACTATTTAAGGAAATAGAATATATTCCCATTAGTACCTACATATAAAAAAATCAGTAAGTCTGGCACCGCTGGAAATCCCCACTGACCGACGCGCGGTTACATATTTTTATTTGGCAGTATTTTCACAAAATATTTGCGTTACATTTATTTTATTACATATCTTTAATTGGAATAGGCTGATATCCAAAGTTATACTCAGAATGTATTATACATATACATTTTTAGTCAATTTTATTTATTTAATATATGTATACGATGTATTTATTTTCTTAAAAATGATCAGCCTACACACCTTTGTTAGTTTTTTGTTGTTTAGATGGATTATGTTATGCCCTAGAAATATTTATTATTATAAATATCTCGACAGAGAGGAACTAAATTACAAAATTTTATAAGATAACCTTCCCTTAAATTATTGCAAGAATACGATATTGAAATATTGGAAAATCATTACGGGACTGCAATTGCTATTATTGCAATTATTAAAAATGCGTACTGGATTTGCGTACAAGTACGTCTAAACCAGTTTTTATAGTGCGTTTTGTTGTGGTTCCATCTACAATACTTTTAAATTATATACTGCAGAAAAGCTACCTCAAAGAAAAAACCTTGACCCATAAATTCTAGAAAACAAACCTTTTTTTGTATTTTTTTTACATTTTTAGAGAGTACGTGTTTATTGTAAGTTGCAAAGATAAAAGCAAACTTTTTATTAATAGAACTTAAAAGCATTTAAAAAGTAGTGTACTTTAAATAATAATTTAATATAAATAAGAGATTTTTGGTTGAATCGATCATAAATAAGTTTTTATTTAATCTCTTCATATATTTCGGACAGTACAATTTTCCATTTTGTGGTGCAGTCAATATTAATTTGATCCTCTTTCAAAAAAAAATATTTTATTTTTCATAAAATAAATTTATAATGTCTATTCCCGTTTTTTTAGCAAATCTTTATTTTAATAAAATGCCAATGAATTGTTAAATCTTGCAGTAGATACGTTGGCGGACCCAATAATCCACTGCGCGGAATCCTGGTGTGATCGTTGTTGGAACAGACCTTTAGTCTTATCAAAGTGTATACTTTGTTGAGAAGTGTAGCCTTTTTAAAAATAGGCAATGTGTAACTTTAACACGCTGTATATCAAAAACTAGTCATAAAATGGATTTGGCTCCGAGGACGTCCTTTTAGACTTCGTAAATATGATTTGACTAATCTTTTCTCATAATTATAGCAAATGTTTTCTAATGGCCTTTATTATTTTAGGCCTTTATTATTTTGTTTACAGTTAAACTATTTAAAAATACCAGTTGAGGTGAAAAGAAAGTGTTCAAAAAGTGTAGTTTTGTATTGTAACCGTGGCATAATATTCAAGATTAGCAATGTCTTCCTTGTAGGTCGTCGAATCAAAGTCTTCGAAATAGCTATTTATACCAGCGTTTATCTCTATATAAAAAATAATTTTTGATAAAATCAAATATTAAATTTACAAGAGTCTAAAAATTTTCTAAGGAAAACATCAAATTCATTTTGTATTTTAGCATCTATCTACGACGTACCGCAAAAAAGTTCAGGGGAACAAAAGGAGACAAGCCTCATGAAAAAATATCCTATAGATTCTTACAATCGTGATGTAAGTCCTGCGGCGTAGCTTGGATTCCAAATTTCTAAATATATCAAAAACTGCAGGAGTAATAAACAAAAAATCTTGAAATTTTAACATCCTGTAAATCAGTAACGATTGGGAACCAAAGAATGATCTCCATCCGTATTTACATAATATTTTTAAATTTTATTTCTGTTTGAATATGACCAATAATAGCTGAGATATGGACTTAGGTCTTTTTGGCATTGCTACTGCGCATGATTTTTCTCTTTAGCGTTATTCTACACCCTCATAATGAGACAAGAAGACAGCCATCGCAAAAAGTGTCCTCTAAATCCCAGATCAAACAACTTATTTTCAATAATAGTTATGTCAACTGGAAATATAATTTAAAAAAACCTGTAACTGCACTCTCTGTGGATCTATTTGGCAAAAAAACCATACTGATGAGAAGATTAAGGTGGTTATGATTGACAACCTGTGTTATTTTTAACAGGTCTGTTATTTCATAAATAACGTGTCTGTTAAAAATAACATTACTTGTCGATCATAACACTGATATTATACTTTTGTAAAAATAACATGTGTTTGTGTATTTTCTTCAAAAATTTTGCAGTGTTCTGGGAATAGAGATTGGTCTGTAGTTTTCCAATAAGTTTTCATTGCCATTTTTAAAGACTGGTATTACTACCCCAATTTTAAGATCCGTTGGAAATTTACCCAACGTAATGGAAGAATTTATCATATATGCAAGAGGGCTGGCAATAGAGGAAGAAACAGTTTTTACAACTTCTAGTGGAAATACAATCAATACCTAATACATTAGTATTTTTTAAGGAACAAATTATTTCTATCAATTCATGTTCATTTGTTCCGCAACGTTATTAAAAGATAAGGAGGAGGTTCTCAATTCTTCGAAATTCAATCTCTTCATTTTTTCTTTTTCTTTTTTCTAGGGCTGTAAATCAGCTAAATGGAATCGACGTAGAAGGTAAAACATTGAAAGTAGAATTGGCTGTGGAAAAACGGGGGAAAAGAGGTCCGAGAGGTCCAGGAGCCCCCTTCGGAGGCTTACCTGGACAAAGCAGACAAACTGATTTCCCTTTGAGGATACTTGTACAAAGTGATATGGTAAGCATTCTAAAAACTAACATTATTTTAAATCTCGTCACTATTTCAATATATACGACATTCTTCATTATTCTCCATCAAATGTGTACCTCATTTCTATTTACCAATAATTTCGTACAATTATTTTAAATTCCAATGTCTTTATAGGTAGGCGCTATAATTGGTAGGCAGGGTTCAACTATAAGACAAATAACTCAACAGACGAGGGCACGAGTGGATGTTCATAGGAAAGACAATGTAGGATCTTTAGAAAAAGCTATTACAATTTATGGTAATCCAGAAAATTGTACTAATGCTTGTAAGAGAATTTTGGAGGTCATGCAACAAGAGGCCAACAATACAAATAAGGGGTAAGTTCTTATTTTGATAAATTTTACTCGTTTTATGTTGGTAGATCCACAACTACAAATTTAAAGTACTTAACGCAATATAAGGCAGATTATTTAAGCAATGTTGGTCAGTTTGATGTCATTTATACAGATTTTTCTAAGGATTTTGACCAGTAGGACCATGTTATTCTACTGTCAAAACTTTCCAATTTAAAATTAACTAAATCATTTGTTAATTTTTTTTATCATATATCTTGCTTGTAGTGACAAATTGTGGTGTCCCACAAGGTTTGGTATTGGGTCCATTGTGTTTCTTATCTTTATCAATGATATTATCCTGATTGCTAATTTCTTCGCTCTTCTGTATGCAGACGATTTAAAGTTGACTACCAAGCTTTACGAAATCTTATTTGTTTATTTAATTTCTAGAGAAATATCATTGAAGATACTGGCTCATAATAATCTCATAGGAAGGATCATCGGAAAGGGCGGCAACACCATCAAAAGGATAATGCAAGATACCGACACCAAAATCACTGTCTCTAGTATTAACGACATCAATTCTTTCAATTTAGAACGTATTATAACAGTGAAAGGTACTATAGAAAATATGAGCAAAGCCGAATCGCAAATCAGTTCGAAATTGAGACAGAGCTACGAGAACGACCTACAGGCTATGGCGCCGCAAACGATGATGTTCCCTGGGCTACATCCGATGGCGATGATGGCCACTGCAGGTATGTAATCAAAGTAAAAGTTATTGGAGGCGTATATGCCTCACACCTATTGGTACAATAATTTAACTAACGATTTTATTTACTGGTCAGACACGTCCTGTCCTCTACATTAGCTGTTATAAGTGGCAATTCTCTCAAACTAATTGCCAGTATATTTTTTAGTTATTGAGATTTCTGTTATCTACTTCCACAATTACGATTTTCTGGATATTCTGGGTCCTGGGCCCATAACCTGTTGAGATTTAAATCGAACAGAAAACCTTAAGGATTTACAGTAGGCAATAAAAACAGTAAATTACAAAAATATAAACATCACAACCTGACAAGTTATTTTATTAATCTTGACTGACTTTCATCTAAAAACTATCATGGTTCGCTTGAACAGCATCAAAAATAGTGAATAATTAGTATACTTTCTCCAATACTTTCCCTCGAGTCATGATTGGCATTTCTTTTCAAATTTGTACTAGACCTAATAGATTAACACAAGTAGTATGTTTTAATCTAGCTGGTACTTTAGTAGATATATCGGCTGTTATTAACTGAGTTGACATGTGTTTTACTTGATACTTCCTCCTTCTAATGGCTTCTCTGATGAAATGAAATATTAAACCTATATGCTTGCTCCTACTATGAAACATTGATTTATCCCCAAGTTTAAGAGTATAGAGTAGATGAGCAACATTGCCACGAGCGCTGACTAACCTACGGGACATGCGTTCGCGTAAACGAAGGCATATCTGTTTATTCATCGCTAAGCCATCTAACCTAATCGTCATATACGAAAAGTCTTCCAACCTAAGGATGTTGAAGAAGCCACTGGAGACTAAAAGACGAAGAGTAGACGTTGAAGAAGCCTCAGGAAACTCGAAAACGAAAAGAAGACGTTGAAGAAGCCTCTGGATACTCGAAGACGAAAAAGAGACGTTGAAGAAGCCTCTGGAAACTTGAAGACGAAAAGGAAATGTTGAAGAAGCCTCTGGAGCCTCGAAGACAAAGAGTAAACGTTGAAAAAGTCTTTGGAGATTCTATGACGAAGAGTAGACGTTGAAGAAGCCTCTGGAAACTCGAAGACGAAAAGGAGATGTTGAAGAAACCTCTGGAAACTTGAAGACGAAAAAGAGACGGTAAAGAAGCCTCTGGATACTCAAGACGAAGAGTAAACGTTGAAGAAGCCTTTGGAAACTCGAAGACCACAAGGAGACGTTGAAGAAGCCTCTGGAAACTTGAAGACGAAAAAGAGACATTAAAGAAGCCTCTGGACACTCGAAGACAAAGAGTAAACGTTGAAAAAGCCTCTGGAGACTCTATGACGAAGAGTAGACGTTGAAGAAGCCTCTAAAAACTCAAAGACGAAAAGGAAACGTTAAAGAAGCCTATGGAAATTTGAAGACGAAAAAGAAACGTTGAAGAAGCCTCTGGAGACTCAAGACGAAGAGTAAACGTTGCAGAAGCCTTTGGAAACTCGAAGACTAAGGTCCTTTTGGCATTGCAAATGCGCGTGAGTTTTCTCTTCGAAGATATAGAATTAGGTCCTTTTGGCTTCGCCATTGCGATTAATTTTGTTCTTTTACGTTAATCTGCATGTAATTTCCTCCACTCCTCCGTTTTTCTCATATAAATCAGACTAATTACAATGAAGATATAGACTTGGGTCTTTTTGGCTTTGTTACTGCGCTTAATTTTTGCTTCAACGCTAATCTATGTCACGTCTCCTTCACAATGTCATTTTCCCCGTTTGAATTGGACCAATAGCAACGAAGATATAGACGTAGGTCCTTTTGGCATTACTACGGCCCATGATTTTTTTCTTCAACGTTAATCTACGTCACGTCTCCTTTATAGTACTGTTTTTCCCGTTTAAATTGGACCAGTAGCAACGCAGATATAGACTTAGGCCCATTTGGCATTGCTACTATACGTGATTTTTCTCTTTAACGATAATCTATACTTGTTCACGTAAACGATGGCCGCCATCTTGAATACTCCCCTCATTTGGCCTTCCTTCGTCTTCGAGTCTCGAGAAGCTTTTTCAACATCTCCTCTTCGTCTTCGAGTTTCCAGAGGCTTCTTCAACGTTTCCTTTTGGTCTTCGAATTTCCAAAGGCTTCTTCTACGTTTACTCTTCGTCTTCTAGTCTCCAGAGGCTTCTTCTACGTTTACTCTTCGTCTTCTAGTCTCCAGAGGCTTCTTCAATGTCTCTTTTTCGTCTTCAAGTTTCCAGAGGTTTCTTCAACGTCTCCTTTTCGTCTTCGAGTTTCCAAAGGCTTCTTCAACGTTTACTCTTCGTCTTCGAGTCTCCAGAGGCTTCTTCAACGTCTCTTTTTCGTCTTCAAGTTTCCAGAGGCTTCTTCAACGTCTCCTTTTCGTCTTCGAGTTTCCAAAGGCTTATTCAACGTTAACTCTTCGTCTTCGAGCCTCCAGAGGCTTTTGCAACGTCTCTTTTTCCTCTTGGAGTTTCCAGAGGCTTCTTCAACGTCTAATCTTCGTCTTCGACTTTCCAAAGGCTTCTTCGACGTTTACTCCTCGTCTTCGAGTCTCCAGAGGCTTCTTTTTCTCTTTTTTGTCTTCAAGTTTCTAGAGGCTTCTTCAATGTCTCCTTTTCGTCTTCGAGTTTCCAAAGGCTTCTTCAACGTTTACTCTTCATCTTCGACTCTGCAGAGACTTCTTCAACGTCTCTTTTTCGTCTTCAAGTTTCCAGAGGCTTCTTCAATGTCTCCTAATCGTCTTCGAGTTTCCTAAGGCTTCTTCAACGTCTCTTTTTCGTCTTCGAGTTTCCAAAGGCTTCTTCAACTTTTACTATTCGTCTTCCAGCCTTCACAGGCTTCTTCAACGTCTTTTTTCGTCTTCGAGTTTCCAGAGGTTTCTTCAACGTCTTTTTTCGTCTTCGAGTTTCCAGAGGTTTCTTCAACGTCTCCTTTTCGTCTTCCAGTTTCCTGAGACTTCTTCAAAGGTTACTATTCGTCTTCGTTTCCAGTGACTTCTTCAACGTCTCCTCTTCGTTTTCTAGTCTCCAGAGGCTTCTTTAACGTTCTTAGGTTAGATTACTTTTCTTAGATGGCTTGGCGATGAATAGGCGGATATGCCTTCGTTCACGTGAACGCCTGTCTCGTGCGCATATCTACGCTCGTGGCTATATCTTTAATATATATAAAATATGTATTTTTCAAATTCATATACCTTTTATTTAAACTTTTTTTTTAGTGTCTATAACAAACAAATTGAAATATTGAACAATTACGCACTAATGAGACACCCTGTATAAAATTGTTTATATAAAATCGTTAGTTAATTTTAGTTGTTTTACTTTCCCAGAATACTCTTTTGTATAAAAAATTTATGAATATATTATTTTTCTATTTGAAAATTTATTTTATAAGAAAATTAAAAGATGCAGATAAATTTAATTGAAATTTTTCTGTATATATTCAAATAAAATAAATTTCGCAAATATACAAGTACATCTGAAAGACTTTTGAATCATTTTGACAATCCAAATTAAAAATTTAGATTCAAATATTTGACACACCATTTTCATTATAATTAATAGCATATCATATTAAATTAGTTTACATTAAACTTTTCTATAATTGTTCATTTATAATTTTTTGTTTATTTGTAAAGTTAATAATATTAATAGTATTTAATTTTACCTCTGGGTAGAAATGGATTTATATATAATTTAAAATAGTAATTGAACATTTTGAATCTTTATTACCAGTTTTGAAGTAGTTTCTTCTTAATTAAAAAGTTTTTTTTTTATATATAAAAACTATTAAAAAGTTGTAAATTTTCAGTTTTTTGATAAATTTTTTTAAAATAAATGATAAACCCAAAAAAATTATTATGAAAATGGTTAGTAAAATTCAAAACACCTATTTCCAATTTCAAGGCATTGGCTATGGTTCAAGAGGACTTTATACAGGTCAAGCTCCTTATCCCGGTATGTACCCCGCAGGAAGCCAATCTGGCGGCGATTCTCAAGAAACGACGTACTTGTACATCCCCAACAACGCGGTCGGTGCCATCATCGGTACCAAGGGTTCGCACATTAGAAATATCATCCGATTCTCGGGCGCTTCCGTGAAGATCGCTCCCATCGACGAGACCAAGCCGCAAGAAACCCAGAACGAAAGGAGAGTCACCATCGTTGGATCTCCCGAGGCACAATGGAAAGTAAGTCTATTTCAATTTCATATAATAAAATAAACATTGTTATTTAAACTAATAGAAATTTTATATAGAAACAATCCATATTACACACAAACAATCCATATTAAAACAAAGAAAAAAATGTTTTCAGTTCTTTTTTTATAGTTTTCTAAAGATTTATTTGTAAATGTTTTAGTTAGAGAGCCATATACAGTGTTGCATCTAAAATTCGCATCATATGGAATTTATTTTTTCAATTTTCAGTAAATTGAAATAACAACCAATCATCGATCAAAGAGCGCAGGTTCGATTCCTGCTCGGAACTTAATTTTTTTCAAAATTCAATCTTCCAATTTTTCCTAATTGTTAAAAATGAAACATTTTTTTTATATTCCAGGCGCAGTACCTGATTTTCGAAAAAATGAGAGAAGAAGGCTTCGTAGCTGGATCGGACGATGTACGATTGACTGTAGAAATTATGGTGCCCAGTTCGCAAGTCGGTAGAATTATCGGTAAAGGCGGTCAAAATGTAAGGGAACTCCAACGCGTTACTGGTAGCGTAATTAAACTACCCGAGCAGGGAACATCTCCACAGGACGATGAAACAACCGTTCATATCATAGGTCCATTCTTTAGTGTCCAGGTAAGGAACAATATAAGAATATACTGTTAGAATTAACTTCAAAATTGTTTTCAAATGATTTATCACCCTGTATGGTCACTTCATAAAACATGTGTTGACATCGTTTTATGTGTTATTAAATATCTCTTAAACAATGTTTGAAATGTAATTAATTAAGGAACAAAATAAAGAATGTCTCTAAAGGGTACTAAATGCCTACTTGCTTGCATTCGGCTTATCGAAATTCAAGTATTTTCTCTCGCCTCTCGGATGCTGCATGGGCGCTCTGTGGTACCGTCAACCCCAGTGGCGGCGGTCTCCTAATTCGCTGACTCTTAACAATATCATCTTTATTTAGTCAAGTCAAAATATCTTTATTGTTGAAGAATTAATTACATTCTTATCAACAAAGATAGATAACAATATTATAAGAAGTTAAAAACAAAAAGTTAAAAATTCAAAGAAAACGAAACGAACAAAATTTTAATAAATGAAATTTTTAGTTTGTTATAATTTTTTTTTTTTAATCTAATGTCGAGATATAAAATATAAATAATCAAAATGCATATACACAACACCGAGTACAAAATGACAAACAAGAAATATATACAGGGGGTTGAAATAAGTTGTAAAATAAATATTGCAATCCTTATTAATCAAACGTATACTGACAACCCTATTTTATCTATGACATTCGTTCCCCTCACAGTAGTTAACCACTGCTAGTAGGAAGTAAGCTTATTAGACTATCTTCACACACCTCCCCCACAAAACAAAGACAGGATGGCATTGGAGCTGAATCGAATTTTCTTATTGAACTCTTTTGACATGTCTTCTGTTTTTCACATAAACTCGCCCACTTGCACATTTTATTAAGTAACTTCTGTTATTTCTTATTTCCAATACTTCTCCAATTTTGTCCCACAACTTCGTTTTTGGATCTTGAATTCTAACTCTAAATCCAATTTGGAGTGGCGGTAAATCTTTGGCATCTCTGTTATATCTAAGAATCGATTTATTGTTGTGGTATGTTGCTCGTCTGTCACAATCATCTGCGGCATTTTGCCATTCCTTTTCAAAGTATTTTTGATGTTTTTAATTCCTCGTTTGTTGTCAGTTCTATAAGTTCGTCTTCCAACTGAGAGGATCCTGCTGTGTCCACATTTGAAAATGGATCTAACATCAAGGCTGGTATGTTCATGCTTAAAATGTCCTGGAATTGTTCTTTGAAATCAGTGTTGACAGTAAATAAGCAAGTCATCATTGTTGGTGTTTGAAGATATTGCTGACAAACTAGGAAAGTTATTAAATTCACGCCTGCCCATATTTCTTTTGTGAAGTTGCAGTTTGGCCACGAATGTAAGGGAAAGGAGCGCCATCCGTAGGAACAGATAAAATATTATTCAAAGGAATTTCCTTTTCGTCACAAACATTTTTCAGTGTCTTTAATATGGATTCTCCTTTTGTATCTGTTTCTAAGTTTAGGCAAATAATAATTCTCGACATATTTTCTCATCTTTGATAAACCTCATAAAACCTTATAAATAGATTGAAAATGCAACTTGTACCGACACGAATTATCTCATGTACGAATTAGAAATTAGATAATGGACCTTTTAATATTCATTATAAAATCAGCACTTGATAAAATTGTATGTAGATTTCATGTTTGAGTAGGATTAAAACTGAAAAATCTCGGAACGGGAATATTCTACACAGATCAATCAAGAGTCCTTTTTGGTGACAAAGTGCGCAGAAAGCACGATAGCATACATTCAAAACTCGACATTTACAGATAAAGACACCTTCATTGCAGAGACAAACAAACTAAATAACGTCTCACTTTGGCTAGATATTTACACCATCTAGTTGGATAGCGGACTGCGTGGTGGAACTCTTTACACTCGCGGTTAGTGCACTGGCGGGGAGATCTGTCATTTACCCTGCAAGTGAGCTGTAGTATTAAACAAAGACTATACATGACCAATGTACACACAAAGACAACCCTCTTTTTTCTAGCTTTTTCAAGGTTCTAAACTATAACAAACACTGCACAGACATAAACACTTTCCCATTCCCGATCCAAAACCCATCATAATCCCTCAATGATACCGCTTCGGTAAGGAGCGAGAGCTATTATATTTCCCAATTTTAAATCGCTGATAAGTTTAATAGGCGAACATGTTCACCATGGTTCAGTAGGCCCGCACGAAAAATCTTGTTCTTAAACCTGTAAATAAAATTTTTCTAATCTAATTTAATATTTTTGGTGACAAATTGTGTGAGGAATAATGACATCCATGAGTTTTCGTAATTTATTGAACTAATAATGATTAACTAACTTATATATATTTCTAAGTTAAAGTCTTTGGCATAAGGAAATATATTTAGAAAATTATGTATTTATGAAATTCACTTTATCACCCTGTAGAATGAAAACTGGGACGTTTACAAGAAAATTATATTTAGCTTTTCTTAATAATTAATTAAGATCAATAAAAGTTCCGAGTTTACAGTACTTTATTCTGGAACACCCTATATACAGGGTGGGCCATTAGTGCGTGGGTGGAAGATTGCGGGTTTATTAAGGTACATTTTTAAAATTCATTTTTGGGGCATGGTGTAGGACCTCTAAGGCTACAACCTAAAAATATTTTCGATAAAATTCCAATTGTTCTACAGGGTGATTTATATCAAAATTATGTTTTTTTAATAGGAACCCACTATATATTATTGCATATTTGGATTCCTCGGTCAATTTTAGTGTGACTTTATGTATCACACCTAAAATGAGTCGTTAAGCAGCAATTCATTATTTTTTCAAAAAGTAGATGTCTAGTAAAAATTGAATATCATAGTTATTATAAAACTTAAAAGACCATGACTCTAAGGGGTTACTAAGCATATACTAACATTTGCCAGACGATCAAAGTCAAACCCAAGAATACCGATCAAGGAGAAGCGACAGTAGCTGTCGGTGTCTTTGATGTCGGATGTACCTTTTTCACAGTATGACTTTGACGGATACACAACTTAGCACGCTGAGAAAACATGCTCACTTTCTACACTGAGCGAAATATTTTGGCAAATTATCTGAAATTATTGTTATAGTCCATGCGCAAATGTTGCAATGTGATTTAATTTCATTGAAGTAGTTAGGGTTAATAGCAATGCTGAAATTTCAGCACCAAAATATAATTCATTATGTAATAATTAATTATTTATTATAAAAGTAAAAGACGTTTATTATTTTATAATTTATCTATAAAATTTGTTCAATATTTGGTTTATTTATTGTTAAAAATGTAATAAAAGCCCCATATTTAAATTAAATTACCTTTTCCTTAACTAAAAATAAGGTAAATAAAATTAAGGGTGTCAAAAAAAATTTAGGTAACAATTAAAAAGACATTAAGTTTGAGAGGTTTAACTAAATATTTGCAATGTGCATATATTTTCAAAGCTTTTAGGTTTAAAAAGTACTTACATATTTTTAGAATTTCTAGATTTATATTATATTAAAAGGACTTTCAAGTTTATCACTCATTTCTGTAGAAACAAGTGTTTTCTCGCCAAGTTAAACCAGATGTCATTTAAGGTTTATGTATTTAGAGTTAAATACCTGGCCTGGCTATTACCCAGACAATACAAATATGTCCATTGGACGTCCATTCGATATACAATTTTGGATGTCTAGACGTCCAAAAATGAGTTTTCTGGACTTCCGACATCCAATGGACGTCCAGTGAAGTATACAAATGGCACACTTTTGACCATTCAGAGGACGTCCAATTCTGGAATATATTTGGACGTCGAATACTGGACATTCAAAAAACGTCCAGGATTATATTTCCATTGAGACCACATCCCCATTTTTTTACAGAAACGCAACTCACCACACACTATTTTATATTATTAATAATTTGTTTATTATTTTAGCAAATCGCTATACACCATTTATTTATTATTAAAAATCGCTTGATCTGAGCAGGAATCGAACTCACGACACATCCATTATAGTTTTACTCTTTCAATCGCTAGACGAGCTCGACCAAGGAACCACTTAAAAACTTTTTACTAGATACAGTTATAATTGAATAAGATTTCAAACTTCCGCTGATAGAATGAAATGCAATAGATTCAATTTGTCAATTTTTAATGACCAGTTATATTAAAAAAAAGAAGTATTTATAGATGGGTATTATCTGGTAGGCTTAATAAATAATAACCGTCCACTGGACGTCAAAATACTACTGAACTTAAAATTAAGTCCAAAAACAGACGTTCTCTGGGTATCGATATTTACCTGTCAATTTAATTAGCATAAACGGACGTACACTGGATGCCCGGATACCCTCAAATAGATCTAAAATGGACGTCCATTGGACTATGTGTGCATAGACGAATTTTTAGAAATAGTACTTATTTAAGTATGCACCAATATTTCCAAAATCAACTCCAGTATGATTAATTCGAGAAATGTAAATATGAATGGGCAAAACATCTTTATATTGACATAATTGTAACTTACAATTTAGCCATAATAAAGGGATTTTGCCCACTTTGACCAATCCTAATTGAAATACGCGAATTTATTATATTTTTTTAAATATAATTTCAAAATAAAATAAACAAAATCTGCAGTTCATTGTTTATTAAATTTATTTAAAAGAAGAAAAACATATATTTCACAAAATACAATACCTACATATGAAAAATAAAATGTCAAAAATGATTAAATCATTATACTTAATATTTATGCATGTGATAAAATTCTTAGTTTCCTAATAACTTTTTTGGCACATTTTATATCTGTATTAGAATACCTAAGTGTGTAAAAATCTTCATCTTACATCTTACTACACAAAACAAACACCAAAAAATATCACTTAACATTGCTCACGTACTAAACACAACTTGGACTGACTTTGACAGATATAGTATATTACATTACGAGTGTGGAAAATCACTTTTCACACAAGTGATGTACAATATTTTTCCTACGACCACAAAATAATGTCATCAAAAAAATGTAAAACCAAGGTTATTATTACTATAATAATTAAAATGTATTTAAAAAAATAATCAACAATAATCGTATTTATTCAATTTTCATATTTTCTAAACAACAAAAAACTAAAAAAAATAAAAAAAAATAAAAAAAAATAAAAAAAACAAAAAAAAAATTCTGCCCCGACAGGATTTGAACCATAGATTGAACGCGGTCGAAAAATGGCAAAATTGATAAGTTCGACGTCCTAACCAGCTGAGCTAACAGCCCTTGTGTCAATTGAATGATCTAATCGGTTATGTATTTAACCAAAATAAAGAGCAAACATTATTTTAAAATTATTTTAATAATAATTGTTAAAGATAAATATCTAGGATCTAATTTACAACAATTTCAATAATTTAACAATCATATCGATTTTAGTATTAATATGGATATTACATAGATCAAAATAGAAATTAGCTTACAAAATAATATCAAAAAAATGTAAAACCAAGGTTATTATTACTATATTAGTTAAAATGTATTTAAAAAAATAATCAACAATAATCGTATTTATTCAATTTTCATATTTTCTAAACAAAAAAAACTAATAAAAAATAAAAAAAAAAACAAAAAAAAAATTCGGCTCCGCCAGGATTTGAACCATAGATTGAACGCGGTCAAAAAATGGCAAAGTTGATAAGTTCGACGTCTAAACCAACTGAGCTAATGGGCCTTACGTCAATTGAATGATCTAATCGGTTATGTATTTACCCAAATTAAAGAGCAAACATAATCTTAGTTATTTTAAAATTATTTTAATAATAATTGTTAAAGATAAATATCTAGGATCTAATTTAAAACAATTTCAATAATTTAACAATCATATCGATTTTAGTATTAATATGGACATTACATAGATCAAAATAGAAATTAGGCGTTTGACATTTTTTGACAACTACTGCGGAAAGTAACATATTCTCACTTGGGTGGAAAGTAAATTCTTAGTCATACGCGTGTGATATAGGACACTTTTCATAGGACTATATAGTGTGATATGTGTCACTTTCCTAAGTGGTCGTAGGAAAACATAATTTTGAGTGATACACAACTTATTTTCGCACATGCGCGTTAGAAAACGGTACACTGAAAACACCAAGCTGGCGCTTCTCCTTGATCGGTATTCTCGGGTCAAACCCTTTTCGTGTTTAAAGTAATCTCTACGCCAATTTTCAAAATTTCAATCCAAGGTAACTTGATTATTTTAAATGGGACTGCGCAGAATCCTGGTGACAGTGACTGGTTTATGATCGTTGTTGGAACAGAACTATAACTAGTTCTTAAAGCTGCATTAGAAGGTTATAGCTGTTTTCTATTTATTACTTTTTTGTTTCAGTCTGCACAACGACGTATCCGAGCTATGGTCCTTCAGTCCGTCGCGCCTCCTCAAGGTAGACAGCGACAACCGAGGCAGCAAAAGGAAACCAGCCAATCGGAAGCTACCTCGTCCGAGCCACAACAGTAGTAATAACTAGAGCAACATTCATACACACTGCCTGTGCATGGGTTTCTGCATACCCTATTGTACAAGAAAACGTCTCGATGCCTTCCACTTCATTTTCCAACGCCGTATGATACAAGTCGTACGCGTCAGTGAAGTTCCAAGTTGCGCGTTGAGTTTTTATTTTCTCTATTTTTTTTCTCGTTTTTTCTGTTTACGTTTATTAGTTATATAGTTCAGTTAACATAATAGATACGAGTCAATTTTTTTTTTGGAACATTTCGCTATTAGTAAATAATATTTATGTTAATTAGTGAAGTTTTTTTTGTTATATACTTATGTTTGTTATTAAATAATTGTTCCTATTTCATTAAATAATCAATATTCAACAGTTACAGTATGTGTATGTTTCAAAATGAACTAATGGCGAAAACCGGTAAAAAAAAATTGACCAGTACATTTCTGCTTAGTGGAAAGTTTTGAGAACTCTCCTGGAATAAGGTATGCGTCGAACTACGTGCCTGATAAACTACAATCTACCTCAAATAATCAAAATATATTAGATTTTATAGCCACTGAAATTTCCGTTATTTACACACAACCGAATGAATAGTGACACACACTATATGTTTTTTTTTATTACACGTAACGTGTATTTACCAAAGAAACCATAAGGTACGCGACTCAAGGCAATGCCGTCGTGTTCCAGCTTCTCCGATGTTCGACGATCAACCAGTCACAGTTACAGTTATTCGGAACGTTCTTTTTTTAGCAAGACAATGTAGATTCGGTTTTAATTTGTTAGGGAAAAAAATGGCTGTGTACTATCAAGGTTTCATAAAGAAAACTGCAGTGCAGTATAAAAATATTTAAAATTTTACAACAAATTCTTCTTCACTTTGTTAGTTTTCTTTTTTTTACGTTATTTCGACAATATACTTATAATTTTAATATCGACATTTTCTTTAGATTGTCAAATAATGTGTCACAAAAGAATTAGCATAAACAGTCTTTAATTTGATTAATTTATCTTGTTTTACTGACTTTTATAATTAATCAAACATTTTTTAGTGGTACAGAAACGTAATAGTACATTTGACGATTTTTAAAAATAGACATTCAAAAACAAAATGAACACCCTAATTTTACCAATTCCACTTTGCTTCAAAGTTTTTTCTTAACGAATAAATTTTTTAAAAAGGCCAAACTGCATTGTCGAAAACAGAGTTAAAATCGAACGTGCTGAATTCCGTTAAACAACACAAACAAATCTGAAAGAATCTGCACTACATCATTGGAAACACATAAAGGCGTAGAGTTCCTTCGGAGTTAACGTGGCTGTTACTATTATTATTATATTTTACTCTAATTTGAGTGTGAATGTGGAAACGAAGAGCTTTAATTAATTTTTTTGGATTTTTTTTATATATTGTAAGTTGATATAATGTTTAGTGTATTCCGTAGCGGTAACTGGGGAAATGATTGATGAAAAGTTGTGTTATTTTCAGTAGATACTTTTTAGATTAGTAATTGAAACGAAATAATTGAGTATTTCGATTTTAAAACTTCAATAAAGCGTGTTGATAAGAAAATGAAAAATTTCATCTTTATAGAGTTAGTGAACCGTTTCTGCTGTTTTTTTATCATATATCTTTTATTTTCAAAACCGGATACAAAACTTTTAATGATATTTTCATTACACGAATTCTGAATCATCTTCAAGTAACTTTTTACTTTATATATCCATTACTATCGAGAGCCATTGACCACCAGATCCATCTAATAGCATGTAGATTAAGATTTTTCATGGTTATGTACACCATAGTAGATAGCTACAGGGAGATTCAACTATGTCAGAGAAAAACGATATAGTATGATTTTTAAACATATTCAACTTTCTCATGTTATAATCTTCAATAAACAATTGCCTGTCACTTTTCGTGGGCAGTAACGTTATCAGATACTTTCAAGGTTACGAAATAATAGCTGAAGTTACGTCATAGTATAAAAGCTGAATAAAAAATTTAGGCTTTCATACTATGACGTAAGTTTCACCATTATTTTGAGATCTTAAGTCTTACTCCTATGTAAAATGTCTGGCAATTGTTGATTGGAAGTTATAAAGTTATCCAGTTGAATATATTAAAAAAATAGCTTTTTCCCAATATTTTTAGATACCTTGAGGATCTGTTGTTACCTGTCGAACGTCCCCATACCTGTTTATCTTTTATAATTTGCGCAAACATGAAAAATTCTTAACCTTCAAACTGTAATGTAGATCTGGGTGGTTGCTGGCAATAATTTTGGACCCCCTTGAGTGTAATGCCTTGATACAACACTGTAAACACCTTCTACTTATAACACTATGAACAGGTTGTTTTATTTTTAATTATTTTTGATTTCTAAACAAAAAACTGACTAAAAAAATTATCAATCTTCAAAATTTGTACAAATTCTATTGTTAAGTGTCAATTTGCTTATACCTTCACAAAAAATATCAATTAAGAACAGTTCACAATAATGCAGGTATAGTCATAGAAAGTACATAATATGAGGCCAATTAATGCCTGATTTTGTCAACATTAACTAGATGAATTAATACACTGTCAACGGAAAAATATGTGCAGTGAGTTTCACACGAAATGCGTACATAAAAAATCAAATTTAATAGAATTTGTTTATATAGCTGCACATACATTGTGGTACGACCTGGTAATTGTTATTGTTTTATAACAGGTATAAGACGGGTGCAAAATAAATGGCGCAACTAAACTGAAATATAACTATTGTATTTGCTTGTTATAAATAAAAATAAACAATTGTTTAACAATCATAAATAATATACATAACTACAAGTTTCCATTATAAAATACAATATATGTCGCCACTACAAAAACATTCATTCCAACCATGTTGTTTTTCTCGTGGTGACTTTTGTTTGCTATTTCCTTCCATCTCTTTGTCCTGGGACTCTAATATGGAAATATAATGGTTTTTTGTAGACCAATAATGGACTTTTGTATGACTTTTTGTCTGTAGTTACTGATCGAAAAACTGCAAAAAAAACAGCGTTGGATCAAGTTTCCAGTACCATATCAAGCATTACACTCGAGAGGATCAATGGTAACTAAAATTAAACAGCGGTGGATATATAGGGCAAAAAGGCACAACACTTTAATAATCGCTGATTAAAATATAAAGTTATTGTTTGTTAATCTGTCAAATAAACCTACATTTAAAGATCGGCCCTTAAACTTTTGAAAAAAAAAATTAAACCGAATATTTCTACAACTAATCTCTAAAGTTATTAATGGATAAAATTATTTTTTCATTGATCATTTCCCTAGTTACGATTACAACTAAGGTGGTGCGCGTGATACCTAACGAATTCAAAAAAAGGAAAAACAAATTGAACAATGAACCGTGTGTGAATGTGATGGTAAGTAAGCAAAGACATTTTGAACTATTATATTATTGTTAGGCGATTTGTTGAAATAATGTTGTTTGTTCGCAAAAGAGGATTGGGACGGTCCCCTGTAATATATTATTTGTTGGCGTTTGTGGGACCGTCGGTCGACAAATTGCGGATTGCGAAAAAAGTGGTTGTTGTGGAAATTTATATTATACCAAGACGTGTAAGGACGAGTGCGAATGAGATGTTGACGATTCTCAGATGCCTTGTGTCAAGGCGAGTTAGTGTACACTTGTCCCTGATAGTACAAACTCGGGAAGTATAGATGGTGTTAGGATATAACGCCTTTGCCTAGAAACCGCGCAGTTCGATTACTTCCGTTGCTATTGCACTGTTCATTTGATTGTAATAAAATTTCAATTTTTTTTAGTATACGAGACCGAAATCATATCATTTGGTTCATTCGATAATTTTTGATAAACACAAAAGAAATGTAATTGGATTTAATGGATTTTTCTTTCGAATTTAAAAATATAATGATATGATTTTAGCCTCGTATGTATTTTTTTATATAATATAGGTAATTTATTTAGTTTAGTATTATATTAAATAAATTAGCATCAAAATTATAAGAGAATCGTTAAATAGAACAATATTAAAAAAAAAGATGTGCGGGTCACATATGTTTCAGAAGAAAAGCAAGTCTACCTCATTGAACGTGCTGGTCGGATCTGTGCCAACTTGTTACTCTCAAATAGCGTGTTTTAGCAACAACCACAAATCGAAGTGATCGACCCGCGCCGGTAGGAAATGTAAAATAACTATTTTTGATAAATATTGTTTGTTGGGGAGGATATTTTTTTTGTTAGATTTTTAAAAAATTTAAAATGTAGCGGGATCGCTATATATTTTAAATTCAAAAATTAAAAAAATGTGAAAAAATGGATATAATTTATTTTATTGAGAATATAAATATATTTATTACTTTTGTGTATAAAAAAGAAGAGAAAAAAATTAAATCGTATGTACAGATTTTATTAAAAAAAAGTGTGCCAAAGTGCAAGAGATGTTACCAAGAAAGCTTGCTTTATTTATAAAGAAAAAAAAAATGTTAAGATTTTAAAAAGGGTACATATATTTATTTTCGGTTAAGAATAGTAAAACAAGAAAATGCTCCCCATCCGAGAAACTTGCATACGGAAAAAATATCACACATACACACTTAGAAGCCGTCACATAGGTAATAAAAAGGAAAACATCATTCATACCATCGTATTAAAGCTAAAAGACTTCAAGTACAAAGTGAACAAAACACAATTAAATATAACTATAAATCATCCAATCCATTTTTCACAGAAAATACGTTAACATCTATCTGTCTATTAAAAAAAAATCTAACGATAGTCATATTGCGTGCTTCAAGTAATCCAAAATCAAATTTATATCTTCGCAGAAATTCTCTAAAAAAGAAATGGCTATTCACACTATTTTGGCTTTTGATAGGGATTTTATTACTCGAAGCAACTTAACGATTCATAATCTCAAATTTCATTCAAAAAAAGTCGACAGTAACAAATGGACAACCCTATTATTACTTATCCCCCAGAAACAAGAGAAAATTTGTTTAAACAGTTAATCAGAACTAGCCCAAGTTTAGAAAAGCATACAATTTTTTTGGAATTATTAAAATTTTTTAAATCCAAAAAAATTGTATCGACAATCTACTAGTATTGGAATTATTCAGTAATTTTCTCACGATAACACCAATTCACAGTAAATATTTCAAAACAGAATTTAAATACAATATTCTGAATAATACGTGGACGAGTCAGTAAATATCCGTTCGTTAAATCAGTTTAATGGTTAAAACAATAGATATACAAACATTTGACTCTCATGTATAATAGGGTGGTGCGAAACATTTCAATTTAATGTTTTTCGATTCGCTATACCGCAAAAATGTTGCTTTGGATGTATACAAAGCATAATGAAATTAAAATGATCAAAATCGGACAATATATTTCGAAAGTTTGTAGAAAATTACGAATTTGTCAATTTTTCGTATTTTTTTCTTATTTAGGTTTGTATTTTTTAACGATATAGTTACCAGTATTGAATAGCCTGTAAAAAAGATTTTTCAACAAAAAAAGGTATATGGTAAATAAATTGCAATAAATAACAAAAGAACGACAATATTTTTTGAAACACATTGTATAACAGATTGCGACGTACTCTTCGAGCACGTCGTTAGTAATAATATCTGAATACTCTTTATTGTAAACGACGTGCTCGAAGAGCACGTCGCAATCTATTATACAGTATGTCCCAAAAAAATGTATACACATACATATTTTTGAA